GAAAATGCACTAAAAAAATGCAAATACTACAAAATGAACACTTTGTTAGCCTAGCCAAATCATCCATTTTGCCTGAGCATTTGACACTACTCATGACAGTCAGAAAAACCTTGTATCATGAGATAAACTGAGAATGGCAGCAGGTGAAAAAAGAAGGAAAGAAAACCAGAAGGAAGCCAGAGAGAGAAGGAGGGAGGGACAGACAACAAGCCTTATATGTTCTTAAATTTAATAATAGCTTCATTTAGCACTGGAACCTAAAATAAAGGCTTAAGTTCATATGCTTTACATTGCTGGCTTCCTAATGGAAACAATTTTAGTGCCGATTTTTACAATATTGATACATATAAATCTAAGTAACCAAACCCAGTTTTGACTGCTTGCAGCTGAAAAGCCAGACATGAGAGACAAGGGTTGTTGGGATGAAAAGCAGATTGAATTGGAAAGTCAGCAAACGGAGAAGATGGAGAACCAGCATTCTAAAGTACCATCCATCTAATGTCTTTCAGGCTGGCTGGAGGGTTTCTATGGGAGGCGGGATATGGGGAAACTATGCGCAGGAGTTAGAATCAAGAGATGACTGAGGAACACAGAGATCTGGGTGCCAGCAAGAGTCAGAGGAGGCTGGGAATGTCTTTGTCCTTGGTCAGGTCACAATGCTCCCATAAATCTTTAACAAAACATAATTAGTGTTTACATAATTCCCCCTTAGTCGCACAGTTAGTTTCAAAAATTACATGACTGCTGTTTCTGCATTTTATCTCAGTGTTCTAAAATTGTCCCAGCCTACATGCAGGAATGGGTAAAGGTCCCTTAAACAAAAAAAGAGTTCATGTTAGTTATTTTGCTGTTTCACTGTCATAAAAATGTGTTGTGACCCTTGCCAATATATAATCATGATGGAGAATTATTTTTCCACCAATGAGAATAATCAGCAAACTAACTTTATAGATTATGCCCCTTAAACTCCTGCTATGTCTCTGATTAAGTGAGCCAGTTCTTCTGAAGACAGGACTTGCTTGCAAGCACTGCCACTTAAAAAAGAAAAAAATGTTTCTCAGTTCCAATTTGCCTCCAGTTTTTATTGACAATACAGATCTTTAAAAAAACATATGACCTGGCCAGGCGCCGTGGCTCATGCCTGTAATCCCAGCGCTTTGGGAGGCCGAGGCAGGCAGATCACCTGAGGTCAGGAGTTTGAGACCAGCCTGGCCAACATGGCAAAATCCCGTCTCTACTAAAAATACAAAAATTAGCTGGATGGCACACACCTGTAATCCCAACTACTTGGGAGGCTGAGGTAGGAGAATCGGACTGCTTTTCTTCATGGCCCAATAACGAGATGCAGATGAACTGGGAAAGAAGACAGTTTTTATTTATGTAACTGGGTACAGAGAGAAGGCCTAGAAATGTTTGCCAGACCAACTCAAAATTACAAAGTTTTCTAGAGCCAATATACCTTCTAAGCTACATGTCTACATGTAAGTGTGCATTCGTCTAAAGACATAAGTGATTAACTTCTTCTAATCTATGACTAAGAAGTGAGTCCTGAAGACCTTCCTCTGGAGCTTCAGTAAATTTACTTAATCTAAATGGGTCCAGGTGCTGGGGTGATTACCCTTATCTTGTCTCCTGCTAAATCATGGAGGTTTATGGAGTTCCTTCAGACCACCAATAAACTTGTTTGTGGAGGCCTGGGGATTTTCTTCAGACCCCCCAATAAACTTGTTTTAATCCTAAACGGGTCCTGTTAAGAATTCCTTCGTAATCTTGTCATGCTTCAAGGCCCAGGAAAGGCCTAGGCAAACTCTTGGTGGGCTTGTTACATTCCAGCCTGGCTCTATCAGCTTTTAATATTTAACTTAACCCCTCAGTCAGTGCTGAAACTGTTGTTATGGAGGCCTGTGTTAGTGAGACCTGCCCTGCCACAGTAAGGCAAGGAATAAGTAAACTTAGTAATAGAAATCTAGAAGAAGAATATAATGAACCGTGAAGAATAGAACAGATATTTTGAAACTAGAGACTGAAATAGGAAAAAAAGTAAAAGAGGCAAAACTTAAAATAAGTATTACTAACTCTTGAAGAGTTTTAAATTCTCATAAAAACTGAAAAGAAAAAGAAAAGGTGCTAAACTCAACTATATTTTTCGCACTCTAAAGATATTCACCATGAAAGATGTAGGACTATAGAAGAGGATCGGATAATGTAAGCTCTTAGGATTTCTTGTTTGTCGTTATAATATCCTTGCTCTGCCCTATTCTAATACCTCTGGGAAATGTGCTAGTAAGAACCTTTGTCTCCATGTCCAAAGAAAATCACATTATTTTTTGTTGGTATTTTAGCAAAGGGTGTGTCTTAGTCCATTCAGGCTGCTATAACAGAATACAATAAACTGATAAACAACAAACATTTATTTCTCACTGTCTAGAGGCTGGGAGTTCTAAGATCAAAGTGCTAGCTGATTTTGTTCCTGGTGAGGGAGGTTTTCCTGGCCTACAGACGTTGCCTTGTTGTGTCCTCACATGTCAGAAACAACCTCTCTCATGTCTCTTCTTATAAGGGCGCTACTCCCAATCATGAGGATGCTACCTTCATAACCTAATTACCTCCCAAAGGCACCACCTCAAATGCCATCACATTAGAGATTAGGGCTTCAACATACAGATTTAAGGGGGACATAAACATTCAGTCATAGCAAGATGTAAGCCTAACATATAAATTCCTTTTCTTTTAATTCTACTGCTCTTCAGTATCCTAAAATATCTGAAGGGTTTCTTCTAACATATGTTATTTCCCAAGCCAGCTTTAAAATTCTGATTAAATTTGAGATTATCAGAAAGAAAAAACACAGAAAAATTATCATTACAAACATTTTAAAATATAATTACAAATAAACTTTCTGTACTGTAAAAAAAAAATACAGTGAGCTGGTATAATGGTAGAGATTTGAAAGGAAGATAAAATATTTTTTAAAAAAAAGACGATGAAGAGATAACGTAAATTAGTAACCTTTAACTATTAACCAGTCTCCTGAAAGAATGTGACCTAGATTAAGAATGTTTAAAAAAATATTTTATTTCATTAGGAAAAAGTGGCCTTCACTCACATAACCCATCATATGGGCCATTCAAAATGGCCTGGATATTTAAGTTATTAAAGTGGAGTTAAAATTGGCTTAATAAGAGATAGCATATTCCTAGAAGATTTAATGTTTCCCAAAGGTCTATTTTCTGGTGTTCCAAGTGGATTTTCAATAGGAACTCAGTACATAATTTTTTTAAAAGTAATTTATTTTATTTTTAGCAAATGGTCCAATAGCAACCGGTAAGCTCCTACTGTCTTTCTCAGTCTCCTCTGGTCTCTGGTAGCATCTCGATTCCTTTATTTGTACAGACACTTTTTTGTTTTTGGTTTCTATTTTGGTTTAGTTTGGGTCTTTCTTTCTTTCTTTTGTTCGTTCGCTTGTTCTTTCTTCTTCCTTTCTTTCTGTCTTTTAAATAAATAAAAGGCCCACAGAAACAAGAAACCACATAGAAAGGACCAAAAACAAGTTGTTCTTCTGGTTAGAGAGTTAAGTTGCAAAAGAGAAGCAAGAAGAAATAATGCTGGCAAAATATGCTGGGAAGACCACGGGAAAAATACACTAAGAAGTTTATATCACAATCTGAAGTCACAGGGGTCACAAAACAAAACTCCAAAAGATAAAAGGTAGAAATAATAAAAATGAGAAGACGTAGCAAATGGGAGCCGAAGAAGGGACAGACTGCAAAATGCAAACAAAGAAAACACTAAAATAGAATTCAAGATAAAAAGGAAAGATTGATCTTCGTCTTTTCCTCCATAAAGTTTATTATATCTAAACTTGGACCACTACTGCTGCAGAGATTAAGCCTTTTTTGACTTCCCTTCCTTGAAAGAATTGGGACTTGCCTCTCATAACAATCAGGCAAATCACATGAATTTATTTTGTGTAGGTCTAAATACACCAATTTTTTTAAAAGATTACCAAAGTACATTAAAAACATGACCTAACTATATCCTATCTACAAGAAAGTCACTTCAAATTTAACAATAAAAGTTTAAAAAAATGAAAAATAAATGCCATGAAACATTAATTTTTTCAAAGAAAAATGGCAGAAGTGGCTACATTAATACCAGGTAAAGTGGACCTGAATGCAAAGAAATTTACCAGGGATGAAAGAGGGACATTATATCATGATAAAAATATCAATGCATCAAGAAGACATAGAAACCCTATATATGTATGCACCAAACAACAGTGCTTTGAAACACACTGGAAAAAAAAACACCTACTAGAACTGAAGAGAAACAGAAAACCCCACAACTACAGTTGGAAAGTTTAATGCCTCATTCTCAGCAATTGCTAGAACTACTAGATGGAACATGAAATAGGTGAGAGAATTAGCCAGGCAATATCTGAGGGGGGACTATTTCAATCAGAGAAGACAACAAGTAAACCACCCTAGGGTAGGAACATTTCCAGACTATTTGAGGAAAAGCAAGAAAGCAAGAACCCTATAGCTGGAACAGAATGAAAAGTGACATAAAAGAAGCTATAAGAGAGATTTGGAGGGACAGATCTTCCAGGGCCACCTTTGAAAGCCAGTGTTGTGATTTTGACTTTTGTTAAATCAAGATGGGGAACCATTGGTGGATCTTAAGCCAGAGTCTTGCTGACACTTTAAAAGGGTCCCGCTAACTGCTCTACTAGGAATTGACTGGGAGGCAAGGGTGAAAGCAGAGAGCTCAATTAGAGAGACAACAGTAAGTTGGACCACAGTGAGAGTCATAAAGGTGGTAAAAAGTGTCAGGTTCTTCTAACACACTAAGGGATCTGTTGTCTCATCATATTTCATTGTATTCTGCTAGAAGTCGTTATGGTACTCTAGAAAAAAGAACTAGGAAATTGGGAGTGGGAAAGAACTGTATTTCTGTTCAAAAGTGTTACCATTAACCTATTTTCTTGTTTTGATTTTCAGGAATACCTCAAGTTCACACTAGTAAGTTTCTAATGTATTTTTAGTACATTAGTTTCTTGTAGGGCTGGGGTGAGCAAATCTTTTCTATAAATATTTTTAATGTTTTGTGTTTGTTTTTGTTTGTTGGGTTTTTGTGGTTTTTTGGTTTGTTTGTTGTTTTTGGCTTTGTTTTGTTTTGAGACAGGGTCTTGCTCTGTCACCTACCCTGGAGTGCGGTAGTGTGATCATAGCTCACTACAACCTCCTCTCCTGGGCTCAAGCAATTGTCCTGCCTCAGCCTCCTGAGTAGCGGGGACTACAGATGTGTACCACCATGCTTGGCTAACTTTTTTTTACTTTTTGTAGAAACTGAGTCTTGCTGTGTTGCCTAGGCTGGTCTCAAAGTCCTGGCCTCAAACAATCCTCCTGCCTTAGCCTCCTAAAGTGCTGGGATTACAGGCATAAGCCACCATGCCCAGCCAAATATTTTAAATTTTATAAGCCATAAAGTCTCTGTCACAACTACTCAACTCTGCTGTTGTAGCACAAAAACAGTCATAGACAATATATAAAAGAATGGCAATGGATATGTCCCAATAAAATACTATTTTAGACACTGAGATTTGAATTTCATACAACTTTCATGTGCCACAAAATATTATTATTATTATTATTATTTCAACTATTTAAATATGTAAAATCCATTCTTACCTCACAGGACATGCAAAAATAGCCAACATACTAGATTTATTCCATGGGCTATATTTTGCCAACTCCCACTCTATGGTTTAAATACCCTAACTCCACATATTTATCTCTGGTAAACAATCCTGGTATTATGCTTCTTACAATGTCATGCTTTCTTATTATTTTGTGCTTTTTTTTTTAAAGACAGAGTTTCACTCACCCAGGTTAGAGTGCCCTGGTGTGATCATGGCCCACTGCAGCCTTGACTTCCTAAGCAATCCTCCCACCTCAGCTTTCTGAGCAGCTGGGACTACAGGCACATGCCACCACACTCAGCTAATTATTTTCTATTTTTTTTGCAGAGACGGGGGTCTCACTATGTTGCCCAGGCTGGTCTTGAACTCCTAGGCTCAAGCCGTCCGCTTGCCTCACAGCCTTCCAAAGTGCTGGGATTACAGGCATGAGCCACTGTGCCAGCCTATTTTGTGCTTTCTATGTAGGTTTATCAAATAACATCAACAAAAAAGATATACCTATATTTCAGTACTTGGTAACAACTTTACCTTAAATATTTCACACCAGGCCAGGCATGGTGGCTTACACATGTAATCCCAGTACTTTGGGAAGCCAAGGCAGGTGGATCACTTGAGCGCAGGGTTCCAGACCAGCCTGGGCAACATGGTGAAACTCTGTCTCTACAAAAAAAATATTTAAAAATTAGCTGGGTGTGGTAGCATTCACCTGTAGTCCCAGCTACTCAGGAGGCTGAAACTGGAGGATCGCTTGAGCCCCGGAAGTGGAAGCTGCAGTGAGCCATGTTCGTGCCACTGCACTGCAGCCTGGAAGACTGAGACCCTGTCTCAAAGAAATATATTTTAAAAAAAACTCGTATCAAACAATGTCAAAAAATAATGTTAGCACACATCTTCTAAGCAAGACCATTATATGTCCTATATTTTATAAATTGTAATCTTGACATTCTAGACAAAATTGCTAATGGTCAATGATAAGTAAAGGTGATTTAAAGTAGCTTATCACAAGGTCTTTGTAAACTACACTAGGCAAAGAGAAGGGGGAGGGGAAATGAAGTTTCTTCACATTTAAATAAATGAAATTTAGTTGTTAATGACGCAGATGATCCCACTCAATGCAGAAGCTTAGGGACTGGGAAGACAGGAAAGCCCAGTACCTACTGATGTGTTTGCCTTTGTCTCTTTCAGTGGACAGTTCTGGAAAAATCAGTAAGTTTGGATCATTTCCTTGCCTTACCTATTTCTATGCCTAGGACCTTTACATTCTTTTTCCCAAATGTTCTTGTATTACAAATTCTTCTACCTTAGAGCAGTCAAAATTTCTTCAATAAGTGATTTCCTCATATTTCAGTTTTAATTCTTCTTATCTATTTTCCTTTTGTAACAAAGTATAATGGCCTTGTGTTTGATTCTACTTATTTACTACCAAAGATTTTTGGTAGCATATATTCCCAGCTAATCTATCACAACAGAGCCTAGTTCCTCTGTGCTATAATCTGGCAACAAATAATTTTTAATAAAAAATAAAATCCTCTAAGATTGACAAAAAGAGTATGTGTCAGGATGAGAGGTGATTTTGGTAATTGACCAACAATACACATTTTTCAAACTGACCAGAACAGTGAGCAAAAAACTGTTTTGCAGAAGACATGTGAAAGACTTATGAAAGAACAAAGAAAGGAAGGAAATGCAATAGTTTAAATTTCAGTAGAATTGATATTACCTACCCAAGATTTCAAATCCCTATATTAACTAAATGGCATCCTAAAGACAATCCTCTGTGTGGAGCGGGATGTGGAGCATTGGCCAGCAACACTCCTGAGGATAAAACAGACAGTTTTATGCTCCCTCCAAGTGCTGTTTCTAAATTCACCTAGGAAGGATACTATTGGAAGGTGGGTTCTTCTTGAGTTAGAAAATCCCCACTGATCTTTCTTTTGTGTTTTGTTTTTAGCACTGACTCCTGTGGGTAAGTTCCATATCTCTTCTCAACTCTGATATTTTACATTGCTTATTATAATTCTTTTGTGACCTGTCTGTTTCTACTCCCAAAATAGAGACCTGTGCTTCTAAGGCTAATTTGAATGTTCCTATCTTCCAGAAACTTCCAAGGTTTTTCTCCCCCCCTTTCTTTTTGAGACAGGATCTCTCTATGTTGCCCAGGTTGATCTTGAACTCCTGGGCTCAAGTGATCCTCCTGCCTCGGCCTCCCAAAGTGCTGGGATTGCAGGTGTGAACAACTGTGCCAGGCCCCAAGTTTTTAAAGAACTACTTTTTAAGAGATTGCTGTAGAAGAGATGAAGTTCATATGAAAGGGTGCCACAATCTCTGGCCATCTTCTAGGCTCTGAAAAAGAATCTCCTCCCTGATTCTCAGCAAAACATAATGAAAGGAAGATTGGTTTCTGAATTCCATTAGTTCTTTGCTGGGAATTTAGAACTCTTTTTTAGTTATAGGTGAAGTCCCTCTGAATCATATTAATAGGGGGAAAAAAACTAGTTAAAAACAAAATCCCATCTACTTTCTGTTGCCTTCTAAATAACTTTACCTTTGAAAGACAGTAGGTATTGAGTATTGACTATGTATCGTACACTGTGCTAGGCACTTACAAAAGTAGCATCTCTTATTCTTACCATATCCCTGCCTGGTAGCTATTATTATTCCCCATTTTACAGATTAGGAAACTAACTCAGATATTTACCCAAGGTTAAAGACTTGGTAAACATTGGTGTCAGGATTTAAACCCAGGATGTCCTATCTCCAAAATACACACCCTTCCCATACTAACACATTGCCTCCTACACTGAATCATAAATGCATTTTTTGTGATTAGTCATGAAACTTGATGGAATGTTTGTAAATACAAATATACATCTACAGAAAAGCTGGATAATTAAATGTACACAAAAGGATCCTTTTAAAAATAGAAGACCACATTTAAATCAATGTTTGACTTTTTTAACTGTTTTCTGGATTCAGATTTCTCTCTATTGGGATTATTTAATATATGGCTCAGCTCTTCAAGCAAGGAAACCATACAAAACAAAGCAGAATAATAACTTTTAATTCTGTAAATATATGATCAAAAGAAGCAAATAAGACTTAAACCTAGTGAGACACGTTTCAAGCATTTCAAACATTCCAAACATTGACACGAACACAAAATACGTCCTTATATTTAATCATGTTTAAGCCTCATTCTTCTTTCTCAGTTCACACTAGAAAGAGAGTGGGTTTGGAGGGAGAGGAAGGCAGAGAGATGAAGTTGAAAGGGGCAATTAATTTCTTTTTTTTTTTTTTACAAATTTCATTCTTGTCACCCAGGCTGGAGTGCAATGGCGCGATCTTGGCTCACTGCAACCTCCGCCTCATGGGTTCAAGTGATTCCACTGCCTCAGTCTCCCAAGTAGCTGGGGTTACAGGCGTGTGTCACTATGCCTGGCTAATTTGGTATTTTTAATAGAGACAGGGTTTCACTGTGTTGGGCAGGCTGGTCTCGAACTCCTGACCTCAGGTGATCCACCCGCCTCGGCCTCCCAAAGTGCTGGGATTACAGGCGCAAGCCACCGTGCCCAGCTGGGGAAATTAATTTCTTTTGACTCATGGTACAAGAAACAGTAGGCATTCAGAATAATCATAATGTGTCAACATCCCTCAAATGCTCTCCTCACATAGAAAAAGTGATAGGACTGTGATCTTGTGAGTTTCTCTTACCAAAAAAAAGAAAAAAAAAAAAAGGAAAACGTGGGCTCTGACGATTGATGTTATATGTCAACTTGACTCAGAAGAACCCTGACTAATACAAGGGCTCTGAGAAGGGATCACAGGCCAAGTTTCTTCCCAGAGGTAATAAATTTTTAATGAATACTAATTTTTTAAGTTGCCAGAGAAAAATCCATTTAATCTTTTTAAAAAATTTTTTGTAAAAGATATATTCTTATTGATATAATCTTTCAAACACATTCTTCCCAATTGATTTTTTTTTCTATTTCTTTTAAAAAATAGAGATGGGGGTCTCACTATGTTGCCCAGGCTGGCCTCGAACTCCCAGCCTCAAGTGATCCTCCCATTTCAGCCTCCCAAAGTGCTGGGATTACAGGTGTGAGCCACTGCATCTGGCCCCAATTGATATTTTTAGAAAAAAAGAGGTTAAGGTTTAATTCAGTGTTCAAAGAAAGGTTTAAGACAGATTAAACCAACAAACATCATCATCCCAGCAAACTGAGTCTCTTATTTCTCACTTCCTCATTCAACTAATAAGTATATGATATTTTAAAATGTAATTCATAGCCTGAGAACTATAATGATTCATCCCTCTGATACTGAAGAGATCTTTTACGGTCTAGATCCAATTGTGCTCTCCCTGCTAACCACTGGATTAAGAACCTAAGATCAGTTTCCTAATAAAGCCCACATTCTATTTTCTACATTAAGTATCATTTAGATAGAATTGTTAATGTGATAGCTATTTCATGATATTTTTTAGCTTTAACAAAAATTAATCCAATTTAAAAATTGTAATAATTACTTTTTAATCAGCTTGAATGTATTATGATGATCCCCAAAGTCTTGATTAAATCTTTGGATTGTATTAAAATTTTGTAGTATGGGCTACTGCCTGCAATAAATGTACTTGCAGCCAGGGCTTCCAAGTCTTTACATTATGAAGATTTACACTGTAAGTGTAGGATGATTATGAGGTCCAAGAGAAGGAAAACATGTATAAACTATCTTGAAATCTGGGAGAAGGAAGAAAAGAACTTAGAATGTGGTGGAATAATGATTTGTGGCTTACTTTTGCAATGCAAATTTGAAATAAAAGTGAACCTCACTTTATGGGATAGCTGGATTCCTCAAAAATAAATCCTGTAAATCTAATCTATGTTAATTAAATACAAGATTTAAAAGATGACAGCAAATATATTAAAATAAGGGTATGAAGATTCTATTAGAAGTAACTAGAGATATTTTTCAGTGTAGTGGGAGAAAGAACAATTTTTTTTTAATTCTGTGAAATTAGGAAAGGTGCAGCTAGAATAAACACTGGGTGCTTCAGGAAATCCTATAATACTTAATTTTGGTTTACAAAACCTATATAATTTAGAAGGTAAATTTAGGTTAAAATGAGTCGTGAAGTATTACACACAATAGCAAATAATCACCCCCAAGAGATAGTAAAACTAAAAATATTCATAACTTAAGAAAAATCAGCTTATGTGAGGATTACATTCCATGAAATTCTTAAGGTTAGAAGCTTCCATGGAAAGGCATGATCTTACCATTCCACACCACCATACCCCTAAACAAAACAAAACAGTGTCCACTGGTAGCACTGTCGAAGATCAAAATATTCTGAACTATTTTTCTCAATTTAGCAATGCTTGAAATATATTACCACTGATTTTCATTAGGAAATTGAAAATTGATTGTCTAGAATAAAATGTAAGTACCATATTTTAATGAAGGACTGTAAGGGGGGAAATATACAAAAAGGTTCAGAAAACATTACAGCAATTTTCCTAATGTTATTTTTATTTAGATGTCAACAGCTGAAAATAATAAAACACTGAACTACAACAACCCTTTTGATTTATAGTTTCTTACCTAATACAGGTGTGCCTCATTTTTATAATTGATAAAATTCTGAAGTTATGTGTATGCCAATTTTTCAAATGTCAAACCCTAAATGTAAAAAACGAAAAAGTCCCATAATTCATTTTTAAGCAAGAAAATTTTCCTGTAATTGGCCGGGGGTGGTGGCTCACGCCTGTAATCCCAGCACTTTGGGAGGCCAAGGCAGGTGGATCACCTGAGGTCAGGAGTTCAAGACCAGCCTGACCAACATGGAGAAACCCCATCTCTACTAAAAATACAAAATTAGCCGGGTGTGGTGGCGCATGCCTGTAATCCCAGCTACTGGGGAGGCTGAGGCAGGAGAATCGCTTGAATTCGGGAGGCGGAGGTTGCAGTGAGCCAAGATCGTGCCATTGCACTCCAGTGTGGGCAATAAGAGCGAAACTCCGTCTCAAAACAAAAAAAGAAAGAAAAAAAAGAAATGTTCCTGTAATACAATCAACCACTCATGTAAATTATTTGTTGGAAAGTAAGAATGCCTTGTCTTGATTGAATTAGAGAGTTTTTTCCTGTACTATCTCATTGGGAAGTAGTAACGGCCAATATTTATTGACTGCTTATTATGTCCCATGCACTGCACTGAGTGCTTTTATTTAGATAACATTATTTAATCTCATAACACCTCTTTGAGGTAGCTACTACTATTGCCCCCATTTTACAGACAGAAAGTAAAGTTTGCCAAAGGTCACCCAGCTAGGCAGGTGTGGGAGGCAGGATTTGAACCAGTCTGTCTCCAAAGGCTATGTTCCTTTAACATTTGTCTATAATATTTAAAAACTCTACAAAGTGAGCAGATCAAACTAAATATAAAAACAGTGAGTCTTTGAGGATTAACCGATTTACCTTAATAAACCCATTAAACCCAGATAGCAGAAATAGTAAACCTAGGTCTTCTTCTTTTCTTTTTTTTTTTTTTTTTTTTTTTGAGATGGAGTCTCGCTCTGTCACCCAGACTGGAGTGCAGTGGTGCGATCCCAGCTCACTGCAATCTGCGCCTTCCGGGTTCAAGTGATTCTCCTGCCTCAGCCTCCCGAGTAGCTGGGGTTACAGGTGTGCGCCACCATGCCTGGCTAATTTTTGTATTTTTAGTAGAGATAGGGTTTCACCATGTTGGCCTGGCTGGTCTCCAACTCCTGACCTCAAGTGATCCACCCACTTCGGCCTTCCGAGGTACTGGGATTACAGGTGTGAGCCACCGCTCCCAGCCTAAGTCTTCTGATTCAGCTTTTATAATAAGTATTATTTCTACCATACTAAATATTAAATATTAGATTTCCTCAAAGCAAGACATGCCTCTGCTCCATGGCAAGAACTCACACAACTCCTTGGTGGCTCAGATATTTCTTTTACCTAATTTAAGGAACCATATTACTTAAAAAAAAAAAAAAAAAAGCAAATAAAAAATACCTAGCAGAAGCTAATAAATTCAAGTTTGTTAAATCACACAGGAATTGAGACATAACAGCTAATTTACCCGAACACGATCAAAGGACCTGAAATTTTTGCAGAGTTTGCAGATATTGCAAGAAGCAGTCTATGGTAATGATCAAAATCAAACTCTGGAGTCTGACCACTCAGGTTCAAATCCCAGCTCCACTACCTACTGATTACATAACCTTATTCACATTCCTTTAAGCATTCTGTGCCTCAGTTTCTTCATCTGTAAAATGAGGTTAATAATACCCTACCTGGTTGTTGTGAGTATCAAATGATTTAATACATAAAGTGCTTAGAACAGTGAGTACTTGGTGTGTGATAAGCACTTAGTAATTATCAGCTAGTACTGCATAATAAGATATGCTTTTATTCAATATGGAAAGCATATTTGAGTTTCCTTTTTCTATCTTGAGAAATTATAATTATTGCTTCCTCCCACAATTTTTCCTTAAAATAAATTCTATTTCTTTTCAGAATACATCCTCTGTTAGCCACTAAGCATTATTCATTAGCCATAATCCACTGAACAAATGTCAGTTCATTTACAATACATTTCCTTTTCTCTCATTAGTCTTCCAAATTATTGAAAATAGTCCAGAATTTGGCTGGGCACAGTGGCTCACGCCTGTAATCCCAGCACTTTGGGAGGCCGAGGTGGGCAGATCACGAGGTCAGGAGATCGAGACCATCCTGGCAAACATGGTGAAACCCCGTCTCTACTAAAAATAGAAAAAAAAAAAAAATTAGCCAGGCTTGGTGGCGGGCGCCTGTAGTCCCAGCTACTCAGGAGGCTGAGGCAGGAGAATGGTGTGAACCCGGGAGGCGGAGCTTGCAGTGAGCGCAGATGCACCACTGCACTCCTGCCTGGACAACGGAGCAAGACTCCGTCTCAAAAAAAAAAAAAAAAAAAAAGAAAAGAATCCAGAATTGTATAGATACTTTTATTATTTTATGTATAGAGAGCCATCATTTTAGATAACTTGAGATTCAGAAAAATTTCAGTTTGTCAGTTTTAAGACAAAAAAAGGAACCAGTATCAAGGGGGAAAAAATAGAAATAAAGAGAAAATACTTGCTATCTAAATCATGCCCTTTTGTTGTATGCTCAGTTATATTAACAGGTTACATGGATGAAGAACTTGCAAAAAAATCTTGTTCCAAAATCCAGATTCTAAAAAGTGGTGGCACTGCAAGGTCTCAGAATAGCCGAGAAGAAAACAAGGAAGCACTAAAGAATGACATCATATTTACAAATTCTGTTGAATCCTTGAAATCAACACACATAAAGGAGCCAGAAAGAGAAGGAAAAGGCACTGATTTAGAGAAAGACAAGATAGGAATGGAGATCAAGATAGACAGTGACGCTAGAATACCAAAAAGACAGGAAACCCAACTAAAAATCAGTGAGATGAGTGTACCAAAAGGACAGGGAGCCCAAATAAAGAAGAGTCTGTCAGGTGTTCCAAGAGGACAGGAGTCCCAAGTAAAGAAGAGTGAGTCAGGTGTACCAAAAGGACAAGAAGCCCAGGTAACTAAGGGTGGGTTGGCTGTACTGAAAGGACAGGAAGCCCAGGTAGAGAAGAGTGAGTTGGTTGTACTGAAAGGACAAGAAGCCCAGGTAGAGAAGAGTGAGATGGGCGTGCCAAGAAGACAGGAATCTCAAGTAAAGAGTGAGTCGAGTGTACCAAAAGGACAAGAAGCCCATGTAGAGAAGAGTGGGTTGGTTGTACTGAAAGGACAGGAAGCCCAGGTAGAGAAGAGTGGGTTAGTTGTACTGAAAGGACAGGAAGCCCAGGTAGAGAAGAATGAGATGGGTGTGCCAAGAAGACAGGAATCCCAAGTAAAGAAGAGTGAGTCGGGTGTCCCAAAGGGACAAGAAGCCCAGGTAAAGAAGAGTGAGTCAGTTGTACTGAAAGGACAGGAAGCCCAGGTAGAGAAGAGTGAGTTGAAGGTACCAAAAGGACAAGAAGGCCAAATAGAGAACAGTGAGGCAGATGTGCCAAAGGAACAGGAGGTCCAAGAAAAGAAGAGTGAGGCAGGTGTACTGAAAGGACCAGAATCCCAAGTAAAGAACACTGAAGTGAGCGTACCAGAAACACCGGAATCCCAACTAAAGAAGAGTGAGTCAGGCATACTAAAAGGACAGGAAGCCCAAGAAAAGAAGGAGAGTTCTGAGGATAAAGGAAATAATGATAAAGAAAAGGAGAGAGATGCAGGGAAAGATCCAGGTAAAGAAGAAAAAGGTGATAAAAACACAAAAGGTGACAAAGGAAAGGACAAAGTTAAAGGAAAGCGAGAATCAGAAATCAGTGGTGAAAAACCAAAAGCCTCAAAAAGGGCGAAGGCAAGTAAAGGAAAGAAGTACAACAAAAAAGCGGAAGAGTAAGGATATGTTTTTTAAAGGCCCATAAGACAAGTGATTATTATGATTCCCATCCTCCAGATACAAAACATATCCCAGCCATTGCCTAAACAGATTATAATTATAAAATCCCTTTCATCTTCATATCCCAGATTCTGCTCTTCAGAAGTGTCACCCTTTTTAATCTCTCAGTCACAAACCTCAGTTTCCAAATATTTGTTTTATAAGTTAATATGTATATGATTCCGTCAAGAAAGACTGGATACTTTCTGAAGTAAAACATTTTAATTAAAGAAATATATGGTAATATCCTTTGACAAGTATGTCTATGATAACCTCTCCAACCAATCAACCAGTAACTCCTCATGGCAGGCCTAATGTTTGCAAGGCACTGGTCTAGCAATAAGGAGTGTACAGAAAAACACAAGTCAGAGCTCCTGCAATCAAGTAGCTTACAATATATATAGTGATATATGTATACATGGCAATTTTTTAAGTAAAATCTAAGTTACAAAAAATAGTTTAGATGGACAGCATAATCCATCGTGGGATGAGAAAGTAGAGGTGATAACTTCCTGGGGAAGGGAGTAGTGGTATATGATATGTCACAGCAGATGGATAAGATGTTGATATGCTGAGTGAATTACAAGTAAAAGAAAGGCAAAGGGTTAAAGGCTGTCATGCCATGCTCCAGGTGCAGTAGGCAATTTTGCTGTTACGGCAGTTTGAAAAGGAGAATATAAATGGATTTGAAAAACAAGCCAGGAATTTATATTTTCCTCTTCAGGCAGCTGGAAGCTTTCCACAAAGTTTGAGACACAGAGTGAAATGAATAAGGTTGTATCATTTTAAAAATAGTTACTCTTGTGATTGTGAAAAATAAGATTAAAAAAAGAAACATCATAGGTAGTAAATCTAATTAAGAAGTACTTGGAGTAAGTAATGGAAAGAGAATAAATAGAAGAAAATTCAAAGAATCACTACTTCATGATGCCTGCATAGGAGTAAGGAAAAGTAAAAAAAAAAAAAAAAAAAAAAAAAAAAAAAATGATAGTTTCAAAACTTTTGAAACTAGGTAACAAACTAGGAAATAGTTTGGGGGACAGGGAGGGAATAACAAATTGTTGTTTTAAGGGGAAAAGCAATAACATTTGTCATTCAAGAGATATCTGGAATTAGATGAGTACAAGCAATAAGAGTGAGTTCTTCAAAGCAGAAAGTACAGGACTAACAAAAGCAGAAGTCCAAGGACTGAGTTTGTTATATGTAACATATTGAAGAAATTTAACTAAGGGATAGGAAGACATAAGGAAAACCTGTATAGTGGAATGTTCCAATAATTAAGGAAGATTAGAGTTTTTAGAAAAAATGAATGATTAAAGGATAGCTGAAACTTCAAGGAAAATAAGGACTGGAAGAACACTGTAGTTGGTATTTGGAGATGACTAATGAACTTCTCAAGAGCACTTTCCAAAGAAGGTAGCTAGGAGAAGGAAGGTAAGCAGGAAGAATATAGAGATACAAGTAAGTAGCTGTGGGATGTGCCTTTCAAACAACCAAAAGAGTTAATTTATTTTAGTCTATTTTAAAATACTCATTTTTAGAAATTTTACTTTTATACTGTTCAATTCTGTGCTGGTTAGCCCACACCCTGAATATTACATTCAGCTCAATCATGGGATGTGGATAAACTAAATGCCTTCAGGATAGAAAGACTCAAGTGAGCAGGAAGTTGCAGAATTCCCCTGGGAAGTCAAATATGAGGAAACAATGAGAATTACGTTCAAATAGGTGAAAGTTCATAAGGGATTAGAATATTTTGTATTGCCCCAAAGAAATGAGATCAGTGAATGGCAGGTACAAAGTAACAAATTTTATCTTTGTAATAAGGAGAAGCAGAGGCCCAAAGAGTTTAAGCAAGAGTTTAAGGCTCATTCAGTGAGAATGCCACAGAGGAGACTCAGGAAACAGCTGAGTAATTGGAATAAATTATCTTTATGGTCCCTTCCAAATAGACTTCCTGAGAGTCTATAATTCTAGTTATCGAATTATTTGGACTAACTAAATGTCTTCCAAGGAATCTTTCCATACTGATATGCTATTCTTCAGAGATGTTTGATGAAAAAGGGAGAGAAACCAGACATTAGTCTCTGCCCAAAGTGTAAAATGTTTCATAAATATTTCAGGCTACCCAACCACAACCTTAAAAGAGTATCTCCACAATTTCTAGCACAATCTAATCCACTGTATGGTTGTCTACTGTGTTCTCACAGCCCTGCCACAGGTATGGAAGCCTATGTTAATTTTAAAAGTCACAGAATCCTCAGGTCTTTGATGAGCTGCATAGGTTTAGCAAAACTGAGTTGCCAGAGAGAGGGAGTGAGAGAGAAGAGGATGGAAGACAGATATTGAACATGGATTTTAATATTGTAAATTGCTTTTGTCATCTGCGGAAAATACACATTTAGAGATTTTACCAGCCTTAGCTGGCATATCTTTTACACACATTATGCTGTTATCAGTGAAAATTTTTGACCAGAAAGATTTTCACAGTTAAAAGTATTAGATTTTCATCATACTCATGTCATTTTTTTCAGCCTCTGTGGTCCATCTGACAGCTAACTAGTAGGTTGTTTTGTTTGTTTGTTTGTTTGTTTTTCCTCACTCTTTACCCAGGCTGGAGTGCAGTGCCATGATCTTGGCTCACTGCAACTTCCTCCTCCTGCGTTCAAGCGATTCTCGTGCCTCAGCCTCCTGAGTACCTGGGATTACAGGGGTGCATCACCAAGTCCAGCAAATTTGTGTATTTTTAGTAGAGACGGGGTTTCACCATGTTGGCCAGGCTGGTCTCAAACTCCTGACCTCAGGTGATCCACCGCCTCAGCCTCCCAAAGTGCTGGGATTACAGGCGTGAGCCACTGTGCCCCACCACTACTAGGTTTTAGAAGGGTATGACTAATGCAACTTCTCTCAGATTTCTGGTAAGAAGCAGGGACCCTGTCAAGGCAATTACTAAAAAACAATAGATAGGCTTCAGCAACCCAGCTCAGCTGACTCCATATCTGTGTGTATGTCCCACTGAAGCAAGAATTCAGAAGAGATAGATCTATAGAAACCTTCCTGGCCGGGCACAGTGGCTCAAGCCTGTAATCCCAGCACTTTGGGAGGCCAAGACGGGCGGATCACGAGGTCAGGAGATCTAGACCATCCTGGCTAACCCGGTGAAACCCCGTCTCTACTAAAAAATACAAAAAATTAGCCGGGCGAGGTGGCGGGCGCCTGTAGTCCCAGCTACTCGGGAGGCTGAGGCAGGAGAATGGCGTGAACCCGGGAGGCGGAGCTTGCAGTGAGCTGAGATCCGACCACTGCACTCCAACAGAGCAAGACTCCGTCTCAAAAAAAAAAAATAAATAAATAAATAAAAAAAAAAAACCTTCCTGTATCTTCTCCATAACTTCTAACTTGGGGTCAAAACATTTGCACTCCCACTAGGTCTTTGAAGGCAAGTAAATCATACAATAGAATACTCCAACTATAAAAATTTTGTGGCCGGGCGCGGTGGCTCAAGCCTGTAATCCCAGCACTTTGGGAGGCCGAGACGGGCGGATCACGAGGTCAGGAGATCGAGACCATCCTGGCTAACACAGTGAAACCCCGTCTCTACTAAAAAATACAAAAAAACTAGCCGGGCGAGGGGCGGGCGCCTGTAGTCCCAGCTACTCACGAGGCTGAGGCAGGAGAATGGGTGAACCCGGGAGGCGGAGCTTGCAGTGAGCCGAGATCCGGCCACTGCACTCCAGCCTGGGCGACAGAGCGAGACTCTGTCTCAAAAAAAAAAAAATTCGTGGACCATTTTCTAAAGGCCACTGAAAAACTGACAAATTTAAAGCAATTGTTAGCCCTCCTGTAAAGATACAGATGTGGAAATCTTGAAGGACCCCAAAAAAAGAAAGGAAAAAGGACAAGCTATCAAAATGACACCGTTTAACAAAATGATGAAAATTTTAAGAAAATACATAAATATGTACTTCTAAGATAGTGGCAATATAAAAGTAGGAATGTGAAACTTACCTTAAGAAATCAATAATAAATTTTGTTTTGCAAATAAACTAATACAAATGTCAAATGTCCTGTTCACAAGAATGGAATGGAAGTCAATTCAATTAGTCGTTTTTCATTTAGGAGCAGAACATAGGAAAGAAAAGCAGAAAGGTGAGTTTAGAGATAATGAAACTGAATGAGAAACACAAAATATTAGGAAACAAACAATTTATGTAAAATCAGTTCATGCAGCTCCTATCCCAATTAAAGACTCCCTGAGTTAGTATTGCATTAAAAATGCAATTTCCTGGCCAGGCGTGGTGGCTCATGCCTGTAATCCCAGCACTTTGAGAGGCTGAGGCAGATGGATCATGAGGTCAGGAGTTCAAGACCAGCCTGGCCAACATGGAGAAACCCTGTCTCTACTAAAAATACAAAAATTAGCCAGGCGTGGTGGCGCACACCTGTGGTCCCTGCTACTCAGGAGGCTGAGGCAGAAAAATTGCTTGAACCCGGGAGGCAGAGGTTACAGTGAGCTGAGATCGTGCCACTGCACTCCAGCCTGGGCAACAGAGTGAGACTCCATCTCAAAAAATAAAAATAAAAAAATGCAATTTCCCATTTTCCCCTAAATATCTCTCACCCTAGGTTATAACTGACATATCAAGGAAGTGAATACAGGGAGCTGGGAAAGGGGACAAGATATAGAAGGAAAAAACAGGATCCAAATGAACAAAAGAATAAGCTGAAAAATTATCAAAATATTCAGTTTTATATTTGATGAGATTCCTTTACTTTCCCCCTTAAAAACAATCAGGAATAGAAAAAAAAACAACTAGTGTTCCTACACTCTACTTGAGAAGTTCCAATTGTGGTTTTGAAGAAATCCAAGCCTGTAATCCTAGTGTTTCAGGAATAAAGACACTCTTATCCATCGTCATCCAGAAGCTTGAGCACTTGCCAAGACGGGGAAGTCAAACTTGAGATGCCGTACCACAGATTATACACATTGTAAGCTAGGTCTCAATAAATTTTCTGTTTAAATCTTTATTAAGTTTCTCTCTTCAAAAATTAAAAACTCACAGTCTTAACTTTCTATAAATCTCTCCACATCTTAATCCATGTTTATATAAAAATGTATGCAAATATGAGTATATGTAGGAATTTTTTTCTAAAAATGGGGTCAAACTATATACATAATTCTGCAACTTGTTTTCTTCACCTAACAATACATCATGGACAACACCACATCAATCTAACATTTTAATAGCATAGCATC